CCCCCCCCCCCCAATTTATCCTCTATCAGTGGAGTTTAGGTGATATTAGACACCTATTCAACGTAAACAAGACTGCCCCGGCTCCTGCGTGGCCCCTCGCGTCCAGGTTTCCGTTGCCGGAGCGTGTGGTCGTTAAAAATAATTTCAGAATTAGGTGGGTTTTGGTTTTTTTTTTTTACCCGCCTGGCCCTCAGTCTCGAGCCGCAGCACCCAGGGGCTTTTCCTGCTGTCGGGGGAGAGCATGGGTTTGCTCAGGGATGTGGCATGTCCTTCACTTTTTGCAGCCTTGCCTTTTTTAAAATTTTTTTCTGGGCTTTTCTTTGCACTCCTCCTCCTTTCCCTGAATGCGGTCTTCCCCCAGCTACTCCTTTCTGTACCCCTTTTTGTCTTTCATATACAAATATTGTGAAAGACTGTCGTGCACTGAGCTCCTGGGGCAAGGAGGAGACCATTTTCCCGTGATGTGATGACTTCCATCTTTTCCTGCAGAGGAAAATACCCCCAAATTCCAGCATATAGAAACCAAAGTATCTGCAATGAATGTCAATAGAGGCAGCACGCACGCAGTAGGCTCAAATGACCTAAATATAAATCGTGGCAAAAGTTAAAAGGCTGTAAGGAGCATCTTCCCCTCATTTGGAGATGCTTTAACATCCTGCCAATTTCACAGGCACTTAAAATCAAAGAGGATTCCCCTCACGTCAGCCTGAGGCCGAGCTAAGCAAGACGCTGGACCTTTCTCTCGTACCCTTTCCAGCAGGATGAAGGGCTCTCTCAGAGGCATTCGAAGCCACGGTCTCTCTCCAGAGCCCGTGCAGGGATGTGCAGCGGCATCAATTGTTTACCTTCCTTGTGTTGTTCCTCTGCTCTCGCGGTGTTTCAGCAAGTGGCTGCAGTGACGGCAGCATTCACCTTTCTCGGTACTTTCACCTGTCCGCAGGTGGATGGATTCACATGGTTCTGGCACGCTCTGACCGGGTCTGAGGGTGCGGAAACTTGCGGCTGCTGTCGGATCCAGGAGAGCACTAACCACGGCCTGTCCCTTGGTGTGCTTGCGACCATCGCATTTACCCAAAGTAATCTTCTTAAAAGAATGTGCTGGTTAATCTTAGTAGCGGGGACAAAATGTGACACAAGAGAAAAAATATTTTGAATGCATCAGAAAAGCTACGTGCATGACTAGCTTACCTGAAGCTTTCATTTTCTAGGAAGGGACAGCTTCCTCAGGCAGGCTGGTGGATATTAAGAGATGTCAATCTCTTGCCCTCCAGCATCTCCCAGGCAGCATCACAGCTGAATGCAGACTTTAAAACTCTTTATAATCATCTTTACCATCACTGCCATGGCAAGCTTTTACAACCTGGCCAGAAAGGAGGAAAGGTGAACCTCCCATTTAATTGCTTTTTAACCCCCCTGAAATGTTTACATAGATGGAGGTGCCTCGTTATCTCCTGTTCTTGCTCGTTTCCTCAACAGCACACTGTTAAACTGTGATTACATTCTAAAGCAAACATTGATAATCAGATAAATATGTAGCATTTATACGGTACTGTACGTAGGAGAGCTGTGGAGAAAAAAGAGAAGAAGTAGGCATGAATGAAAACGGGTGTGAGAGGGGTTGTGTGCCTTCCGCGGAAGACTGGCACTCCATGGCGGAGCAGAACGGGTGCTGGAGATACTGGGGAGCGATGGGAGAGGAAGGTGAACTCAACTGCTGGACTTTGGCTGTGCTACAGGGAGATTAATGGGTGGGGTGGGATGGTAAGCAATTTCAAAATACCGTAATAGCATTATATATTCTGTTATGTGTACATATGTATTATTTTAATCACATTCATATATGTTGTTTCATAACATATATTATATGCCTTGGAATTATACTTTTTTACCTTCTCTGGCAATGATACATTCAGATGTGCGCCTCATCTTTCTACCAGAGAACATGCAAAATGAAAAGGGGTTTTCAGAACCACATTAAGAAAATGTTTTCTCTGAGGTTTGTTCTATTTCCACCTTTTGATCTTCCATGTGTTGTCTTTTGTTTTTTTCCCTCACCTACTTCCTTGTTGCTTTACATCATTCTTCTCTTCGTTTTTTCTCTCCTTGCAACAATTCCCATTTTCCAGTCTCTAGTTTTTACTTATATATGAAAATATATGAAACATTTTTTACAATGAAACTGTTTAAAATTAATTGCCATTAGTCTTTAGCATTAATACGGAAGGATCATGAATGAAGAGCTGATGGTGTTACAAGTTTAGGAGACATTGTCTGACATTATTTTTCAAAGTTAGTCAGGGGTCTCTTGGTTTGTTAAAGTTGGGATATTTTTGGAAATGTATCTTTAGAAACTCAAAAGCTTGAAATGCATGTTTGAGAATAACATATAACATTTTCAGGCTCTGCAGTGCAAGCCTCCTAGTTTCAAGAAATACGATTAATCTGGCCATCAGTCAGGATTTTCCTCTCTCCTTTCTTCTCAATCTCCTCACGCCAGCGCATGTGGAGATAACCTTATGGTAAGTTATTGTATTGGTTTTGTGTGGCAAGGTTTTGGTAGTGGGGGGGTGTTACAGGGGTGGCTTCTGTAAGAAGCTGCTGGAAGTTTCCCCTGTGTTTCAGAGAGCCCATACCAGCCGGCTCTAAGACGGACCTGCCGCCAAGGCCGAGCCAATCAGCCTCTGTGATAACATTTTTAAGAAGGAAAAAAGTTGGGACAGGGAGAAACAGCCACCGGAGAGAGGAGTGAGAACACGTAAGAGAAACAAGCCTGCGGACACCAAGGTCAGTGCAGAAGGAGGGGGAGGAGATGCTCCAGGCGCTGGAGCAGAGATTCCCCTGAAGCCCGTGAGGAAGACCATGGTGAGGCAGGCTGTCGCCCTGCAGTCCAGGGAGGTCCACGGTGGAGCAGATCTCCACCTGCAGCCCAGGGAGGACCCCACGCCGGAGCAGGTGGGTGCCCGAAGGAGGCTGTGACCCCGTGGGAAGCCCACACTGGACCAGGCTCCTGGCAGGACCTGCGGATCCATGGAGAGAGGAGCCCACGGAGCAGGTTTTCTGGCAGGACTTGTGACCCCGTGGGGGACCCACACTGGAGCAGTCTGTGCCTGAAGGACTGCAGCCCATGGAAAGGACCCATGCTGGAGCAGCTCGTGAACTGCAGCCCGTGGGAAGGACCCACGTTGGAGAAGTTCGTGGAGGACTGTCTCCTGTGGGAGGGACCCCACGCTGGAGCAGGGGAAGAGTGTGATGAGCCCTCCCCCTGAGGAGGATGAAGCGGCAGAAAATAACGTGTGATGAAATGACCGTAAACCCCATCCCCATCCCCCTGTGCCGCTGGGGGGGCTTGGTAGAGAAATCCGGGAGTGAAGTTGTGCCCAGGAAGAAGGGAGGGGTGGAGGGGAAGGTGTTCTGAGATTTGGTTTTATTTCTCATTACCTTACTCTGGTTGATTTGTAATAAATTGAGTTAATTTTCCCCAAGCTGAGTCTGTTTTGCCCATGACGGTAATTGGTGAATGATCTCTCCTGTCCTTATCTCGACCCGCAAGCTCTTTGTTATATTTTTCTCTCCCCTGTCCAGCTGAGGAGGGGGAGTGATAGAACGGTTTTGGTGGGCACCTGGCATCCAGCCAGGGTCAACCCATCACAGTTATGGACTCATTTGATAACGAAGTGTTATCATTATACCTTTGACTTCCATTCCCGCACACTGCC